ACTTATCCTATAGGAAGTTAAGAAATCGTAAAAAATGAGAATCTAACTATAAAAACAACTTAATTACGTGCAATTTTATGAAACTATAATCATACAAATAGGTATAGAATAAAAATAAATATTTAACACTTCCAGTAAGTATAACAAAAAAAAAAACAGAAAAATCCAATTAAAAGTAAAGATTCTAATATGAAACAATAAAATCATTTAAAATGCGAACACATTAATTATAAATGTATTTATACGTGTTTAAATTTATAAATTAATAATATTCATAAAAACTTATAAAAGGTAGTTTATCTATGATGAAATTACAATTTATTAATTTAATCGTCGCATTAAATATGACATCTAATTAGAAATTGCATTGATAAATTGTTTTGCCAATAAAGTTATAATATCTACCCAAAAACATTTTGGATTGCCTTCAATAGTTCATTTTCAAAAATCCTAAAATATGGCAAAAAAGTCTTTATATGTACACAAAAATAAAGGCAAACCACTAAGTTTTCCTTTTAAAAGCCACAATAAAATAAACTAATTACAAAATGTCTTCGTATAACAGAGTGACAAATTATTTAAAAAAAAAAATAAGTTGTCGGAAGATAAAACTGATATAAGTAATCAATTAAAAACAAATTCTTAGAAATACAATTTAGTTTGTTAGTTAAGAAACTTCAAAGCCAAAAATAAAAAAATATTATCATATGTCAAATTTAATTGTGATACAATATAATCTTACTAGTAAAATTACCTGGCGGAATATCTGATAGGAATCCTATACCAATCTAACTGGAATCAACTGTTCCTATATGAATCACACACTGAAACTAACAATAGTGGGGATGTTCTTTATGTTTTCAGATGGGAAAGAAATATATTTTGCCTGAGTTTTATGCAACAGGTAAACAGGTAAATCAGAGGTAGGAAGGTATTATATTTTGAAATCTTCCAATCATTTTTTTACACAAAATAATCTGAAAAATAATTAATATGAGGAATGAAAAGATTTACTTCGTTGTATTTCTGATTTATTTTTTATTTATGACAATTTCGCAATCAAGTCGTAAGATACATTTAGATTGATGTATTTTTATTCTGTAATTAATCTAAGAATATTTTAAAAGTCAATTTTACAGTACATATACAATTAATTGATTACATTAATACACTAGTCAATTATTATATAACATTAATATTATCTACACAAGAAAATAATAAATATATATTACAAAATTAACATTTTATATAATATCGTGTATTTATCCTATAGGAAGTTTATACAATCACTCGTATAATTTAAACTCTATCATCAAACGTTACAAGGTATTTCGTGATTAAAAATTTAATAATTGAGTTAAATTAATAATGTCTATTGAACACGATTACTTTATTTGTAATTTACATATTTGTTTTACCTGTAACAAGTGAGATTATAAATAAAATTTATATGAAATATAAATAAAACATTTTATCCAAAAATGCTACTGTACGAAATATTCTTAGTTTTTGTCAATACATATTGTAAATTCAAAGACATTTATTACGTGGCGTTTGCTTGATTTAAAATCTATTAGTTTTAAAAGTGTACATTTAAAATTGATTTAATTATTATATTACTTTGTTAAAAAACTATATACGACGGCCCTGCGTTATTCGTGTTGTAATATATAATTTGTGTTAATTGTTAATTTTACCCTGTTTTCAACATGAGGGTAGGAATATTTTGAATATAAAATTTTACATGCTTATACTATTATAGAAATAGATTTAGAAAGAGGTTTTAGATTTTAGTTAAATAAATTGCAAATTTAGATTTTTAGTTGCAAAGTATTCAAGTGGCAAAAAATTGAACTGTATTTAAAACAAAATAGATAAAAAAAAGTTGATTCAGAAATCGTTGATAAAATTTGAATTAACTAGTTATTATGTTACAAATTAAATTTAAGGACTCCTGTCCACGATTTAACCAAGCGATTTTGGGCTCGAGGAAAAGTATTGTTTTATCTAGAGAAAAATGAATTTTATCTGAAAATATCTTGAGCTATCGATTGTTTGGTTTAGTCGTGTTGAGCCAATATGTTAAAACACTATTATAAATATTTATATTCTATTTGTCGTACTAAATAGGTTCACATTTTCACAATTCGTATGTTAGTTTAAATCTTTATATTGCCAATTATAGATTCGATGCAACGACGAGTCCAACTGACTTCTGAAGAAAGTCCAGAATAATTGCGTCCAAATTATGTGTCAAAAATTCCTAATTCGAAACAAAATATATTGATATGTTTGAAAATAGTTATTTTAAATATTAATATCGTTCGTAACATTTTCTATACATAGGCCATGTTTAGGAATGCTGTTTTAATCTACCTTAGGTCTCCTTTTAGAGATTTATCTCAACTATCCAATTAGAATTTGTATTTAACTAGTTATTGCACTTTTATAAAACTATTTACAGTTAGTAGAAGTTCTACACACTTACAATGAAATACTGGCAATATAAGTCTCCCTCATTAATAACGAATAATAAGAACTGAAAATCAAATATATTAAAATAAAAACAATAAAAAATTTAATTACATGTCATTTTATTTATAATATATTTAATTAATAATTAAGTACGTTTCGCTTCTGATCGTAAAATAAGATATGGTCCGCTATGGGAATGCTATATATTACCCAAAATGCAACCTTCAAATAGGCATTTTTTATAAATATAAAATAGATTTATTTAACTATAACATAAAATTATCTAATAGTTTAAATATACATCGCAGTATCAGACATTTGTTTAATAACATCAACTAAGAGTTATTGGTGAAATATCAAGATAGCATTTTTTATGTATTTATTCTCTGCATGATGCCGATTTGTAAATTCACAATTCGGCAAATTGCAAATGTTAAAATTAATAGTAAAAACCATGTTAAAATCTAAGGTGATATTGCACCAACAACTTGACTTAGAATGACGAACATTAAAATAATATAAATATTTCAATAACTTACAGGTAATCTGCAACATACAACTTTAAAAAGTATTATCCATTTTAACACAAAATTTTGATTTTTAGTATGAAAACTTGTTTTAAATTTGCTTTATTTATGATATAAATTGTACACGCACTTTCGATGTTGCTGATTATAATTAAATATTAAAAGTACGGAATATATTCTTTTCATCCAAATATTTGGAAGTTACTACAAATTGTCTACAGTTCAAAACATCAACATTTTTAATAAAATAAAAAATAATACAATAAATTATGTGTCTTAAGTGCCAGAGCTCCATTAAATATAGCCCAATTTCAGTCTTAAAAATGGAATACATTTTATTTCATATACATCAATCATTCACAAATTCACACATTCAATCACCAAACTTTTGATAACGCAACAAAAATTGTAAGTACTATAATACATTTTTACAGAAATAATACATACAAAACTGATATTATAAAACTCCATTACATAATATAATAAAAATACAATGTTTCAATAATAAAATTAACAGTCGAACCGCTTTATCATTATGACGGTGTCGCCCGGCTTTGGTATCAGTCCGCACGCAAATTTCACAGTGCATTTTTTCACCGAAACTCGTGTCGATTTAAATTAGCGCGCGATGTATTTAATATATCCTCCCAGGGGCGAGGGGGGCGTGCACTGGGGGCGGAAGCCCCCAACGACCCCAGGGAAAGAGTCATGCTGCCTCTTTGCTGGCTGAGGAGTCTTCATCCGCTGACAATAAAGTTGGCGGCAGTAACCTGTGCCCGCCGCCGGCTTTGCTTTGGCTTACTACGCATTTGCGCATGTGCTTTTCAAGTGTTGATGGCACCGAAAATGGCATTTCGCAGAACCTGCATCGGTATACATCTTTTCCCAGCCTTCCGTGCGTTTTCATATGTCGAGTCAATTTCGAACTTTGCGCACAAGCGTACGAGCACAATTCACATTTATAAGGTTTTTCGCCTGTATGACTTCTTCTATGTACGGTTAAATTTGAACAATTTTTGAATACCTTCCCACAAAACTCACAAGTATCGTTTCTACGCGGTTCCTTCTTTAAAAGCATAGCAGCGGCTGCGTTCGATTTACTTTTCACATCACTATTTGGTGGCATCACCGGCCCCAATCCAGGCAGCCACCAACTTCCATCAGTAGAAGATGGTGGATGTAGCATTGGGTTGAATAAAGGTAACTGAGGTGCAGGTGATGGTGGTAACAATGGTTTAAAATCATCTCGTACTCGTAGACCGTTCATCATTTTACCACTGGACTCTTGCAAGGCTTGTTTGTATGCTTCATTGTATTGCGCAATGTTAGCCAAACCAAATTTGTCCATTAATTCTCCAACAAGAGAAGCAGCTGTCGTTGTAGCTACGGATGGTGGTGTAGTAGTTAAAGGAAGAGGTTGTGTGGCAATCGGTGTCTGTTGAGAAGAAGAATTTGTAACTGATAAGTCTTGTGCTTTCTCATCATCATCTTCTTCTTCTTGTTCTTCTTCCTCCTCATCTTCAGTTTCATCTTCATCTAAGGTTTCAACGCTTCCCGCGTTACTTGTTCTTTCCTCTTGATCTTGCATTTGTTGTCTATGCGTCCGCATATGTCTACGCAATAGACTACTTTGGGAGCAGGAATGATCACAAACTGTACACCTGTATAAGCCGTGTGTTCTCAAATATCTAAATTTTGATTCCGATTTGACAGAATCGGGAGCTGAACATGGTGTCGTGGTAATAGGTTCGGCAGGTTCAGGGCTGGGTGGCTTTATGTCGGGAGTAACACGGGCTTGTGCATCTTCTTCATTATTATTGTTATTAACACTGCAACTATCGTTATTGTTATTACTATTAAGAGCCGAATTCAATGGCGATGGGCTCGCAAAGGGCGGCGAATGCTTTCGCGGATTCGGCGAGCTCGAGTCCGCAGTAACAGCCGCGGGACTAGTGGTACCCGCGAGCTGTCGCAATCGCTGCGAGTAAAAATCCAGCTGCTCGTTTGGGTGCACTCCGCCTACTGAGGCCATTGGAAGGCCGACGACAGAGGATTGTTGACTTGGTGCGTTAGCAGAGACCGGCAGAGCTGATCGATCGCGGTACTGTGACCGCTCTGCCGCGACTGGAAAGGGCGAGGGCTGGCCTTGCGAATTAGCGGCTAATGCAGCGGCTAAATTCAGACCATGTTGTCTAAATTGTTCAGAAACTAATTGTTCCATTCTGAACCTATCGTGCTGCAATGACGGACGAGAATATTGAGGTGCCACTACTGGTCCTCGAAGAAGACCATAAGGAACCACACCAGCAAGCTCTGGTGGCGGTGGAGGTGGTAGTAATGGATGCATTCTCAGAGGCTGTTGACCAGTTGATGATGAAGATGAACATGTACTGCTATTCCCAGAGTTGTTCACACTAAGAGCTTTTCCACTACTTGAATTTGTACTTCCTAGACTGCTGCAACTACTGCTATTAGGTCCTGGAGAACTCTCTACGTAGATTTTGACTCCGTGGGTATGTTGAACATGTTGAAGCAATCGCCAGGCGGAATGCATTCTCTGCTTGCATGTGCTGCATACATAATTACTAGGTTCTGAAAAGAAAGAAAAATTACTTAATAAAAACCTACAAAAATAAAAGTAAATATAATTAGACTATCAAAATATTATTATAAAAATTACTATATCATAAATCGAAAATTATATCCTGCATTGCTGATGACGTAATCTATTGTACATTTCAAGAAAACAATCACTCCTTCAAATAACTACATGATCGATTGTACAAAATTAATGACAGGGCCTAATTTGTCAGGTATTTGAAAGACATATTAACCTATATTAACCCACGCTCAGTCCTCAGTATGACCTATTGGCTTCACAGCAATTCCTGTAGTACAATAGGTTTTGCTATGTCCTAGCCATTGAAACTGTTATTATGCGAAGGCGATTGTCCGACACGCTGTCTTTTGTACGCATATCAAACAACAAGACACCCAATCAATCTATGCGAAAATAACTTTTGTATCCTTGATTTATAGCAAACTCGGACATGCGGAAAATAATTAATGTTATCGACATCGCATGCACGTGTTTATAATAATTGTTCGGTAAGATATTCTGTTTAATTAAGTATCCATAATATTTGTAACCGTTGTCAAAATTATTTGTGCTGTGTACATATTTATATACGATATGTATTGTTTACACAGCCTGACCATCCTTCGAATGGACCACATTATTAAAACAGTCACCTGACAGTGCCTCAATATCTATGTTTGTTTAGATTTATGAATACTAATTTGACAATTGTTTAATTTGTATCAAATTCGGTTAGCGCAAACCATCAACGTTTTCAGTAGAACTTTAGGAAAACGTACTTAATCAATTCGCAGCAAAAGCAAGACATATTTATTATTAAATAAATAGAGTTTAGATTATTTGACAATGCACGTTGGCAATTCGGACAATTGGACCATACACAACCGATACATAATAACATAAAGAGTTAAAGAAATTTTAATATATAATAAAAATATATAATTACGCGAATGCGCATAATTAGCAACGGACGTGAGACTAAGTTCGCAAAGTCGTAGTATCGTGAAAGCAACTGTAAAATACCAAATAGACTTTCCTTCCAGGAATTAGTTTTGTCAACAACATAAAGAATACTTAACAGCGATTTAATGCAATGAGAAATCTCAAAAGACAAATATATTACCGGCGTTTTGAAAGACGCGTCTCGTAAAACCGTATTATAAATTTGAAATATTTAACATTTTACTTATGACGACACGAGGTGACAAGTAATTATCGAACGACCCGTATATATTATGAGGCTATTGTATATATTATTAGTACAGGAATTGTATTTAAGCATATTGCTAGATGCCGTTACGAGAATTCGCCTCGAGTTAAATCAAATAAATGTCATACGCACTGCATGGCATGAGACAGAAGGGAAACTATAATAAAATATTCACAATTTTGTCATAAAATTAAGCAATGAAGCCTCAAATCACATCACTTATAGATCCTAAGCTGAAGAAAAGCTTTTCTTTTCTATTCTTCAAAATTAAAAAATAACTTTAACCCTTTCATCTCGGATGCATAAAAATTCATATAAATCTCGGAATTAGCGAGTGGAAAGGGAATGATCTGAACAAAAGTCGCTGTAATCATTAGTAGAAAATTATTAATTTAATATTTTATGTTGCTAATTAATATTAGTAATTTATTATAATACCTCCAAAATATACATATTATAATAATATTACAATCCTTAGAATATCAATCAATTAGTAAGTAAGACGACTAAGTTTTTGCAATATTTGAATACCTGAATTTGTGTAAAACCATAATAAAAATTATTGTGCATCATATCATTTGCTAAGAGTTATTTAATTGACGTGTGAACAGATCAAGGAGAACAAAATTAAGTTAAATTTGAGCCAGCCAAATCGGCAAGGACATTGGCTAGCAAAAATATCACAGCATGATGTCAAATTTCCACTTTAGGGTATAATTCTCAAGTGAAAATCGCCTTTCGCGGATATAATAACGTCAAAAGTAAAATAATACTATTAGATATAAGTCGAAATAGTAAATAGTCCAACTACTGGACTGCTTACCAAAAAAACAAGCAATACACTACATGTCAACAAAAAGTACTAAATGTTTTTATAATATGGTCAGTTTGTAAGAAAACAAAGAAATGAAAATAGTTTTTTTTTTATTTTTTATAGTTTTTTTGAACAGCAATCAGAACCTTAGGTTCTATGAGTTGGGCTGAAACTTCTCCTTACTTCCTATTTTTTAGATGGTAACCCAATGGTTAATCCATCCATATTTGATGATTTTGTTATTAGAATTAATTTAATAGAGCTGACATTTTATTAGTGCAGCAATGCTGGGCAAGGGCTATTTTCATTAGGAAACATATTGCTATCTATATTTTCAAGTGAAAATCGTTGTCACTGCTACCTGACAACAGGCTGCTCAAAGTAGGTATCGAACCCGGGACCTCTGATTCAGGTCCCAAGTAAGAAGTTGAACGCAATAATTTCGTTGGTTTTCAAAAAATCCGTGATTTATAACAATAACTATGAAGAACTTTCAAAGTTTGAATTGGCAATCTTTACTCCTTCCACAGATCTCGTTTGTCGTATTTTATTAGTTTTTAATGAATGAGAACTAACGGACGATGGTAACTCCAGAACTTATACGCAAATGTTGTTTCTTTTGTGACCACTTTTCTGTTACAATAAGATTTATTGTCGTTAGGCTGTTAAGCGTCATCTAATAGTAAAATGTGTATGTGTGAATGACGTATTTGTATACTAAAAACGTTTATAGCATTTTTTATACTCTCTACGCATTCGCGATGATTTTGCTTACGATTTATTATTGTTGCCCTATGACACACATTGCGATCGTAAAACTCTTGATCTGTATAGTATGATGAATAAAATCGAGATGAGTTGTAAACTAATGCACTTTGGTATATAATCAATTAATATTTTACATATTATTCATATAAAAAATTTGCATTATTAAAATATAATTGAGTGCCCAAATTAGTTGAAAACCGTAATTATTTAATGAGCAAAGTTTTTGCAAATTCAACATGTTTATTTCATTCTTTGCCCCATGTCCAATGACATCGGCTTTAGCGTTCCCTGCACAAATAAAAAGAAAAAGTTTGGCATAAAAGTCGTCTGCATAAAATCCCCGCAGTGCTATTGTCAAACCGACATCATTTATTTAATTAATACCTCGTATGTATCATCATTGCTCTGGGGCGAACGTTAACTAATGAATTAACAGGTGACAACGGCTGGTATGAAGTTTGGATTCTCGAACAATGTGTCGGGGAGTTCGAAAATGAATTATGTTGTAATGTGAATTATATTAATATATTGATGCAGAAATGATAAATTATTTTACAAAAATATGTGCTTGCTACATATAAAATTTATTTTTTAGTAATTTCTTTGTATACTATAGTTTTATATTTAATTGTGTGTGAAAAAGTTGTAAACAATGTACATACACATTTTTAAATATAAAAAAAAATATGCACCTCAACAAAATTATAATCAGATTTTTCCTATAAAGTATATCAAAATGAAATTTTTTAAAGCTATTAATGACTATAGTATACATTCAAAAGAATATTATTGCAATAAGTAAAAATTTTGTATTAATAATAAGTTCTCATTGAAAAAAATAAATGAGAAAATAGTAATAAAATACAAAAAAGTCAAATAAAAATATCAAAACTAAAACCAATTCTCTAGTGAATTATACCATAACATATCGTCATAACAACTGTCAAAATTTGTACTTGCAGTGCAGTCAGGCATTTTAAATATGAGATCTAACCTAGAAAATGCACAATGCTATTATGAGTGCATCTGTTTAATGTGCATACATAAAGTTAGGTTTTATGTGAAAATTGCCTGATCGCACAGCAAATACATTTTGATAGTTTTTAGTGCCAAGAAAGGAGAGTAACGCAGCGTTGCCATAACAACCGAAGAATTGGATAAAATATCTAAAACATCTTTTTTCAATATGTACATTTTATTTCGTGAGTGCATTTGCGAAACTACCAGACTATCAAGACTATAAGTAATTTGATGGGTGCTTTACAAAAATTAGACCACATATTTAATTCTTATCTAATTTGTCTATTTAAACAATAGAATTCCATACACACATTATTTACATAGACTCTTTGTATCGTATTTGATTAAGATTTTAATGCCTTTACTAATGACCAAAATGATAATGTTTTTAACCATCTCAGATAATCAGTTTGCTGAGTAAATAGTGTATTATTGCAGATTAAATACACTATGGTAGTAATTAGATTTTTGTTCTATTCTGTATGCGTAATTAAAACCAGCAAATTAGCGAAACATTACCAATTTTGTAAATATATATTGTAATTTCAAAAAAAAAAAAAGGATTTCATAGGTATATTATCATCAAAATAATTCATTAGTTGAAATGAGAAATTCAGATAGTTACTGTGAAATAAAACTAAATCGAAATGAATATTATATTTTTATAATTTTTTATGGTTAAGTATGTGCCTACAATAAATTTTAATTGAACTATTAGATAAGAAATGATCGATGCAAAAATTTGGATACAGATGGAATGAACCTATAATATTTTCTTTAACTACTATCAGTAATGGAAGAACCCCCACTGTGTAAACTTATACTGAACATTTTTAAACCCGAATCATTTGCTAAATTTCATTTTTTTGGTAGTTTCTAATTTAACTAGAAATTTGAAATTTTTTTTTTCTTTAATCAAATTTTATGCGTTAAAAAACTAAAATAGTTATACTGAAACGAAAAGTTATGATTGACACCTTTTGTTACAATTTATCAAAACTTTCACTACTTCGCATCGTTAAAATAGTATTCGCAGACACAATAGCCCGGTAATCCCGAAACAAACGAAACTATTAACAGTTGCATAATGCACAGTCGTACTCTGAAACCTTCACTCGTCTGTCGGGCCGTTTGCTTACATATCTTCATAACTTGACATATGATGACGTGCAATTAGATGC